GGGGGGCGGCGGGCGGGGAGCCGAGGGCCCCCGCAGCGCCGAGGGCTGGCGGGGGGGCCCCCCCAGGGGCCCCGGGGGGCCGCTGCTGCGGGGCTGGGGACGCGCGGGCGGCAGCAGCGGGGGGCCCCTGCTGCTGGCTCATCTTGCGGAGGGAAGAAAGGTGGGCCTGCGGCGCTCCTGCAGGCTGCTGCTGCGCACTCCGGGGCAGCTGCGCAGAAGGCAAGGAAGGGTCTTCACAGCGGCGGAGGCGCAGCGCCTACTGCCCAGCCAGAGGCGCGGAGGGTCTGCGCCGCCAGGGGCGGAAAGGGCTGAAGGAGAAGCCCCCGGGGGCCCCCATCAAGGCCTTCACGGGAAGCGCGAAGATCTTCAGATCTGGAGGCGCGGGAGTTCGCGTCTCTCGGAGAGGCAAGAGGAGGGGAGGGACGCACAAGGTGGAGCCCGCGGCACCCCCGCAGCAGCAAACGCGTGTTGGGCCCACTGCCAAAAGCCCAACGGAAAATCCCCCTTCAAAAGCCACTATTATTGTCCATCATGCCGCAATCCCAAGGCTGGCGCCGAGAGCCATCGCAGCAGCAGGCACGGGAGCCACCCGAATCTGGGGTGTATGTACACCGGAGATTTGGCAGCCAACAGGGGGAAAAACCCCTACAACTTCCAACCTCGTTCCTTCTTCGTTGCACTTTGCAGGAAAGAGCAGCTCCAGCGCCAGCCACGACGCCCCCTGCTGCGCAGCACCGCCACCCCCTTGGGGCGACAACTTTGGGGCCACCATGCACGTGTGGGGCGCCAACCGAGACAGTCAGCACTAGACGGTTACTTATAGACCCCAATTACCCGCACTTTCTGCAGGAAAACGCTCTTAACGTCATAATAAACTCCAAATTACAAACAATCTTCAAGATGTCTCGCGCGGTCTCAACGCCAGTGGGCCACGCGCAGGCCTTGTTGGCCGTTACACTGAATATATCTGTCGAGCAGGCTCTATAAGTGCAATAATTAAATCCGGCGCAGCGGTCTTGTGCAGGAAACCTCCTGGTTTCCGTGCGTGCGCATCCCATGCCACAGTCGCCAGCACAGGCGCACCACTTTTGGGCGCCAAACCCTGGCAACTGTTGCAATTTCTTAGTTTAATCGCAGTAGCACTCCTGAATAGTGGAGCAGTGTCTTTAATGGTTTTACTTCAAAAATTTTTCATGGGATGCAGCTTTGTTTCGGCTAGTGCCTGGGATGCGCGCAGCAGCGCGCAGGTGCTCGAGATCGGTAGCTACACCAGCTGCGGGAGCCGCCAAGGGAAGTGTCCAGCCAGCTTTCTATTGCATTAACTATATTAGGAGCCTGCAGAAAAATGATTCGAAGCCGGGGGTCAAAAAAAAGCTGTGCAGTGCAGGTCTAGTTGCCAGCAGCAGCCTGCTGCGCTGCAGCCGCTGAGAGTCTCGGGGTGCCCCCACAGCTCGGACAGCGGTGCTCACTCAGCTGCTGCTCCCGCCCCACCTGAGGCCACTTTGCTGTTTTGCTGCAGTTCAAAAGCTCGATTTCAGCGTCACTTTTGCAATCTTTGCAGCTTTCAAGCCCCGACTGCAGCGCGGCCTGCAGCAGCTCCTGGGCGCGCAGTGCTGCCACACACTGCGGCCTCTTCGAGTTTCCGCGAAGTCTTGGCCCCTCAAAGTGCTGCGCCTGTTCGCATTTGGGGCCTTTTCCCGCGAACACGGCCAAGACTGGGCTCGCGGGGCTGTGTGTGGCAAGAGGGCTTGCTGAGAGTCACTGGCTAAGAAACTCTGAAGCAAAAAGCAAAAAAAGCTGCACAGGGGGGCTCAAGTGTCCCCCAGACACCCAGGATCGGATGTGTGGCAGCACTCTGGGCACTCCGGCCTTGTGTCCTCGCCGTGTCAGTGATCATAAATTGAACAATTAGAGATGCTGCTCGTGCTGCAGCAAGACGTGAAAAGCTTTCGCAGCAATTCGTAGAACTCGTTCTCAAAAACTGAACTCTGAGCTCCCCGCGGGAGTGAATTGTCGTCTGCGACGCTTTCCCGAGCTGGGCCACTGCAGGGGTCTGGCCTTCACATAAAACGCACACATTCTGTTAACTTGTGGAGTACCTGCAAGGCTCCGCCTAAGTAAGAAGGCAGACACAGGAAAGCATGCCTGCAGCCGCGCACTGCTGCAGCGGATTCAAGTCGGCTGCGAAGATCAGTTGCACACAAAACTGCTAACAATCCTTCAAACTAACAACACGCTTTGCTACGGCTTTCCTTACTTCATGCTTTCCCGAATGCCTTGAGCACTGGTGCTTTCAGCTCAATAATGATCCACTGGCAAGAGGCTAGCTAGCTCGGGTTCCGCTGTTTCTAGAGAGCTGGGATCTTCAACAGTAGTTGAATCAGTGAGCTGGACTCTCACCCCTGCTTTTCGGGTGTGGGAGGCTATGCCCAGCATTTCTGAATTTTGTTGCACTGGTTGCGCAAGCTCGCGCAGTGCCTCAGATCAACACAGCCCTGAGGTGGCTTTCAACTAGTTCAGAAGTTTGCAAACATTCACTTTCCGGGACGTGCTCCTTCACAGCATCTTCTTCCCTTATTGAATATTTGCCTACTCAGCACTTCAGCAGTGCGGCTGCGCTTTGCAGCCCCTGCAGAACAGCAGAATATAATAAGTCTTTGGCGGGACGGGGAATCCATATTAGGAGTAAGAAATATCACGCTTCAATTGCGGAAGGCGTCATCGATGGCCTTTGAGCCTTCTACAGGGCACTCCAGCGGCAACTTCTTATTTTTTCGCTCAGTCTTGAACAGCCTTTCATGCTCTAGAGGCTCTGACTCTCAACTACCCTCTGGAGATATATACAACTCAAATCAAAATAATCCCCTTCTGCCACCATATAACAGCTTTTTTCACAATGCTATTCTTCGGATTCATGAGGGCAAGAGTATACCTAGAAGGCCAACTCATAAGCCCTCTCTAGAACTTTCTTCCTCTGAAGTGCCATGAAGCAAGAACACAGCAATAGCATCCGGCAAGAGCTGGCCAAAGGAGAAAACTTGATGAAATCTAATCTTCTCCACTGACCCTTAGAAAAATGAGCTCAAAGCCAACAACATCATGAATCGTTAAAGCAAAGACTTTGTGAAGCGCTCAGTTGGAGCCGCCAAAAATAGGTTTTCTTTCTTCGAGGTGAATGCGCACATTTACATTTAATAATATTTTCTAAGGGCTTTTCTGTTGCTTGCATAGTGGTAAGGGAGGTACTGACTGGCTTTTGCATGACAGTTAGGTGGTTTCAATTGAGGCCGTGAGAATGACGCGCGGGAAAAGTGTTCACACAGTTCTCAAAAGCAGGCTTATTTCATTATCATAAAACTTGCCCTCCGAGCCATTATTTTAACTTCAACAGGCAGCAACTACTGCCAGGCAAAGCAGCGTTATATGAACACAACTGCAGTTAGTTGGTCCTTGCAAGTACAACCCATGGCAAAAGCTCGAGAGGGAATACGCCTCACAAAAAATACAGACGAAGCAAGTATTACAATATTGTCAAGGCCAAGCATTTATAGATAGGCTTGGCCCCTCCTTCTTCCTAGAAAATCTCGGACAGTTGGCAAGCCGAGCAGCGCGTCAGCCTGTCGCCGCCATTTACTCCCTTTCCGAGTTAAAATTCCAGTTCTATTAAAAATATTCACCTAGGCCCCGCTAAGCTGAGCCGGTTCACAATAAGCAACAGTGTCAGGCCAGTTCGCGGTGGGGTATCTTGGCTTAAAGCTTCAGACAAATTATGACCTTGGATAGAGCCACAATACTCTGCATTTACCGCCTTTCAGCGTTCTAAAAAGCACAGATCTCCATGCAGCATATACAAGCATCAAAACAAATTTTTGGTATTCAATAGTTGTGAAAAAAGTTGTCGCTCGCTGGCTAAAAAGAGTGATGCGCAGGAAATAGAAAAAACTGCGGAAGCTGCAGGCGCCGCTTTTCCGTCGTTTTGCGCAGCTGGTGCTTATAAACAGTTGGTCGTACAAAGCGAATATCATTTTAGAAAGTGGTTTTTTCTATAACTTGCATTTGCGCATTTTCCTGGCCGAAATGCTATGTGGGTGCTGGCTCGGGGCAGTTCTTTTCAGTAGCTGCAAAAGAGGTCCAGGGCAGCTCCTTTTTTTATTGGCTTCTGCTCCATCTGAACAGCTTTTGTTAAGTTCCAATCTGTACCGCTCCTCTTTACTTTTCACATAAAGAGGTGTACGCGTTGAAATTGAGCTTTTTGGAGCGCTATTCGACAGTTAGGTGACATTCTTTCAACAAGCAACGTCTGGGAGCCCGAAAAGCGCGTGAACAGCCTTTAAACCCCATGTGTTCGACGTAATTACTTCTGCATTAACATGCCATTCAACCTATATGCCTCGCTTTGCATGCAGAACTCAGTGGATTGTTTGCTTTAGGCGGTATGCTTAGGCGTGCACACAATTTCATCTTCACGTTCCTGCTGAATAAAATACGGCTATTCCTCGCCGGTTATCGCAGTAGAAAAGGCAAATGTCACTCTTTTCTCCCCACACTGCTGTGGCTTCTTTTTCATCCCCTCGCGTCCATGCTTTCTTCAGCCGGCCAGTTGAATTTCAAGTTGTTGTTGCATTTGGATTCATAAAGCCACCGCTGTGTGCACCGCTATGTGTGTGCCTAACCAGACCGTAATTTGCTCTCGCTAAGGCCTCAAGACTCTTGAATTAAAGAAGAGATCTCTCAGCCTCATGAGCTTCCTAAAGTACAAGTTTCCTCACAAGTACATGGAGGCCCTTGAGCGGAAACTGGGAAAAGCAGGCAGCAACACCTGCACATCAGTTGCTTACAGGCAACACCCAGGGATCCCGGGGCTTCTAAACATTCAAGTATGCGTTGAAAGCCAGGATTTCACCTCTATGGCCTGACGCGCCCATTTGCTGCAGTCGCAGCAGCGGCCCCTGCGGCGCTCTGGAGCCGCAAGGCGCTTGTTCGGGTCTATCTTCTGTTGCAAATGTTGAAATAAAATAAATGTAGGTTTCGTACTTGTTCTCAAGGAGCGCTTCATGTGCAGAAGTCCGCTTCTTGCACGGGCTCCCCTTCAACTCATCAGTCGCTGCACCCCCCCTCGCTGCCTTCTTTTCTTGCGAACCCACACATAAAACTTAGACTCCACAAGTACATATTGCAGCAAATAATTGACGAAGAGTTTTTTGGAAGAGTCCTGCGAGCTGAGGAGCTATGATCTCCTCCTTTAAGCCGTCTACAACACCCCGGGGGCCCCAACCCCACCTGTATCTGGCCACAGGGGCCCCCAGGCCGGTTAAGAAGCAAGAAGTAATCCTGCAGCGCTTGCTACTGGATTCGCTAGTATGCAGATTTGAGTTAATGTTGAACTTACAAGGGCCACTTTAGCCGAAGAGATCCGCGGGATTTGGCCTTCTAGAGGAGGGCCCTCCTGACTCGGGGGGCCCCCCGTTACCTGGGGCCCTCCCTGAGCTAGCAGCCTTCAAATCATTGAAGCAGAGAAAAAGCAACTCTCTCACAGGAGGGGGAGCAGCAGCAACACCGACAGCTGCAGCAGCAGCAACACCGACAGCTGCAGCAGCAGCATGCAGGCGAGTCCGCAGCGTAGCCCAGTAGCTGCGGCTGCAAGGAATCGTCGAGCGGCTGCAGCTGTGGTGGCAGCTACGCTGGCAGCCTCTCCAGTGCGCCAAGCAACAGCAGCAGCAGCAGCAGCAGCAGCAGCAGCAGCAGCGCCACGGGCTACTGCTGCGGCTTTCCCTTGTTTTGACTTCGCCAAAAATGTGGGCCAGAGAGGTGACAGAGAAGGCTTTGGCTCAGCTGCTGCTTCTCCGCTGAGTGCTTTGCGGGCAGAGGGGCGGGCGCCTGCAACACCGCCGACAGCAGCAGCAGCAGCAGCAGGCGCAGCAGCAGCAGCAGCAGACGCGCAGCAATGGAGCCGCTGCATTGAGGCAGCAACGAGTGTTTCTAAGGCCTGGAATGCCTTGAAGCTGCACACAAGCAGCAGCAGCAGCAGCGGCAGCAGCGACAGCGGTAGTTGCTGCTGCTGCTGCAGCATTCGACTTTACGGCGATGTCGCTCGGCTGTCTTGGCAGCTGCAGCACGACATCAATGCTTTGCTGCTGCTTCTTCCCGCAGAGCGCGTCCAGGAGGACGCAGAAACAGCAGCAGCTTTATCTGCAGCAGCAACTGCAGCAGCAGCAACTGCAGCAGCAGCAACTGCTGCTACAGATGCGGGAGCTGCCAGCACATCGAAGCTTTGGGGCGATGCAGCCAGTTGGAGTGTCGCGCTGCAGCCCCGGCCGCCAGCAGCAGCTGCTGCAGCATTGTCTGCAGCAGCAGCAGCAGCAGCAGCACACTCAGCTGCAACAGCAGCAGCAGCAAACCAAACACCTCATCAGCTGAATTGCTGCTGCCTTCCTTCGGTTTCCACAGCCCTTCGGCTGGTTCGAGCTCTGGGTCTTTGTTCTTGTGAAGCAGCAGAAGGCAGCAGCGCATTGCTGCTGCTGCACAAGGCTGCAGAAGCAGCGGCAGGTGCCGCTGCTGCAACAGCTGCTGCAGCGGCACCTGCTGCTGCTACAGCACCTGCTGCTGCAGCAGCACCTGCTGCAGCGCAGCCACCGGCTTCCTGCACCTGCGAAGCTACTCAGAGCAGCAAGCCTTCGCAGCATCCGGGCGGCCCGCTACACAAGCTGCTGCAGGCAGCAGCAGAAGCAGCAGCACAGACTTATGGGTCACTGCTGTCAATAGAATCGCTGCTGCGGGCGCTGGCTGCTGCATTAAGGCAAGAGCAGCAGCAGCAGGACCTTCATTTGCTGCTGCGAGGCGCGGGGAGTGAGCCCTTTGCTGCCTGGGAGCAGCAGCTGCAGCAGCAGCAACAGCAACCACAGCAGCAGCGGCAGCTGCAGCAGGCAATGCAGACACTGGAGCATTTCCTGACGAAGGACTTCGAGGGCCTGGCCAGCGCCGTAGTCAGCCGCTGCATGGCTGGCTTAGCTGCACTGCAGCAGCACGCACTGCAGCAGCAGCAGCAGCAGCAGCAGCAGCAAGGGGCCCAACAGCAGCAGCACGAAGAAGTGGTTCTCACTATTGGAGCCGTAAGCCAGTTTCAGCTGCATGGATGCAAGTGGCATCACTGTGGGGTTATTTGCTGAGGGCTGGAGCTGCTGCTGCTTGTGTGGCTTTGTTTGCTGCAGTCAGCGCGAAGTCTGCTGCAGCAACTGCTGCAGCTCAGCAGCAGAGAGCTGCAGCAGTGCCGCAGAGGCGGGGCTTCCTTGCTGCGGCATTTCTACCTCCACTGCAACGCGTAGGCCTTAGCAGCAGTAGCAGCAGCAGCAGCAGCAGCAGCCCATAGTCCACGTGAAACACGAAAGATAAATCACTGACAGCAGCATGAAAAGCGGCAGCAGCAGCAGCAACAAAGTAGCAGCATAACAGTAGCAGCAGCAGCAGCAGCAAAGAATGTGACGAGGGCTCTGTGGAAGTCTTGCTGTGTGCATGCAGGTACTTTGCATTCTCCAGACGGGAGATAAGAGCAGGCCATTGGTCTGCTGCTGCTGCGCTGCTGCTGCCTCTCACCCCGCTGCTTCAACCGCTGCTGTCCCTTCCGTGGGCCCCACAGCTTCAAAGCGAAGCAGCAGCAGCAGCAGCAGCAGCAGCAGCAGCCGCAGGTGCGGAGGCACCCTCTTGGACATGCTTCGCAGAAAGTGCCGCAGTTCAGCAAGAAGTAGTGGAGGTGCTTGACTCGGACAGCGAAGGCAGCAGCAGCAGCGGCAGCAGCAGCTACAGCAGCAGCAGCAGCAGCAACAATAGCAACAGCAGCAACACCGACGTGCCTAAATCTTCTTTGCCGTTAAGGGCTTCCCCATGGAAAGGCTCTTCATCAAGTGAAGCCGCAGCAGGAACACCAGCGACTTTAAGTACAGCAATAACTGCAGCAGCAGCAGCAACAGCAGCAGCAGCAGCAGCAGCAGCATCGCAGCAACGTGCAAAAAGGGGCCCTGTGAGCGACCTTGCAAGCACACCTCGCCGGAAGCTTGCACGCGCTGCAGACGCGGAGCGGCAGCAGCAGCAGCAGCAGCAGCAGCAGCAGCCGCAGCAGCAGCAGCAGCTGCTGCTGCTGCAGAGAGCGTGCCTTACTGAAGCACGGCGAACGCCACGAACTCATCTAGGGCAAGGGAGATCGCCCTTTGGGGGCTCTGCTGCAGCGCAGCAAAGCTGCCGAGCTTCTCCATTTGCTGCCTCCCCTTTTGCCCGCACTCCATCGGCAGCACCGGGAGCAGCAGCAGCAGCAGCAGCAGCAGCAGCAACAGCAGCAACAGCTGCGGCGCTGTCTCTTGGCAGCCGCAGGGCAAACACCCCCATTCTACACAGACGACTCACAGCAGCAGCAGCGGCTGCAGCAGGTGCTGCTGCTGCTGCTGCTGCTGCCTCACCGTTTGCGTGTGCCAAAGGCACTCCCCTCAGGGCCACAACCCTCCGCAGCAGCACAAGCCAAGGGGCAGCAGCAGCAGCAGCAGCAGCAGCAAACAGCGCCAAGTCTGTAGCGCTGCATGTACACACATACGCAGTCCACATCAGTTTGCTGCAGAGTGCAGCAGTGGGGCTTCAGCAGCTGGAGGCAGCAGCAGCAGCAGCAGAGCAGCTGCTTCAGCAGCTGCTGCTTTCCTGCAAAATTGAAGTTCTAGATTACGTGGCTTTTTGCATTGCGGCTGCTTACAAGCCCCATATACAACAGCAGCAGCAACAGCAGAAATACATGCTGCAGCAGCAGCAGCGACAGCAGCAACAACAGTTTGATGGAGAGATGATGGGCACTGTAGCTCCTCTAGCTCTGGAAATTAGGGAGATTATCCGCATTTCCATAAATGCGAAGTTGCAGCTGCACCTGCGACAGCTGCAGCAGCAGCAGCAGCAGCAGCAGCAGCAACAGCACCTTCAGCTGCACGAATTCGAACGAAATGAAGAAAGCGACGAAGCAGTCATTGACTGCGATGCACCGTTGGAGTGCAGCAGCAGCGGCAGCATCGCGCGCAGCAGCAGCAGCAACAACAGCAGCGCGAGCTGCAGCAGCGGCAGCAGCAGCAGTATCTCCTGCAACCCTTTTGTGGCTGCCGGCTGTGTCTCAGCCACGGCAGCTGCGCAGGGAGCGGCAGCAGGTGCAGCAGCAGCAGCTGCTGAAGCAGCAAAAATGTGGCCCCTTTGGGGCGGCTCTGATGAGCTGCTGCTGCGCCTCTCCGGCAGCAATGCACGCAGCGCAGCGCGCGAGGCTTCTGCTGCAGCTTCTGCATCCAGCTACGAGCAGCAGCAGCAGCAGCAGCAGCAGCAGCAGCAGCTGCAGCAGCAGGACGATGAGTCTAGCTTGTGGCTGTCCCGCCTGCTTTGCCTTGAGTGGCTTGTGCTGCAGCAACGCATGCTAGAAGAGGCCCTGCAGCACACAGCAGCAGCCCCGGCGAAGCACCTGGATAGGCTGCTGCCGATTGTGCTGCTGGGTGCTGCTCTGCAGCAGCAGCAACCTCAGCGCCTGTACGCTGCTGCTGCTGCTTTCACTGAGGATGCCCTCAGTCGGCTACGAGCTCTGTGCAGCAGCAGGTGCAGCAGCAGCAGTAGCAGCAGCACCGGCAGCAGGACTTCTTCGGCGCTGCTGCACTCCAACGGAGAGCAGCTGCAGCAGCAGCAGCAACGGGCGCTGCTGCGGCAGCTGCTGGAATGGATTAGCACGGAAGCTGCAGCATCTTTGGGACATTTCAGCTGCTGCTTCTCCCGTGTTGCCGCCTTTGCATGGCAGCGCGGCGCAGCGCTGCAGCAGCAACAGCAGCAGCAGCAGCAGCACCGCCGTTGTTCCCAACACCTCGCTGAGCTGCGGTCCCCCGTGCAGCTTCAGCAGCAGCAGCTGCAGCAAAACCAGCAGCAACAACAGCAGCAAGAGTGCGCATGCGGTGCATGCGAGAGCGCGTCTGCTGCAGCAGCACCAGGGGGCTGCACGTGGCAGCGCGCTGTGCTGCTGCTGCTGCTGCAGCAGATCCATTGTGCAGGCCATTGTTCTATTAGCTGGCTGCAGTCTACCGCTGCTCTAGCAGACCGTGTGCTCTCGCTGCTGCCTTCGTCATCACTGCAGCAGCAGCAGCAGCAGCAGCTGAACACCGCTGCTGCGGTTGCTGCCTTCCGCTTCCCCTTTAGCAGCTGCAGCAATGAGCCACCTTCTCCTGCAGCAACCCGCGCTGCGCCGCAGCCTGCAGCAGAAGCAGCAGCAAATTTACTATCCGAGGCCGATTTTTCTGGTTTTGCATTCTTTCAAGGGGCCCTTAGCGGAGAGCAGCAGCAGCAGCAGCAGCAACGGTCGCTGCTGCTGTGGTTGCGCGCGTCAGTTGGCTCCGCGCTCTCTTCGGCCCTCCTTTTCAGCTGGCCAGACAACAGCAGCAGCAGCAACGGCAGCAGCAGCAGCAGCAGCGACAGCAGGAGCGCCGGTGACGGCAGCCTCTCTGAGGGAGCTGCAGCGGCTGCTGCTGCAGCTTCTACGCCGCCTGACATTAAGCGCAGCAGTGTTGCGCCTTCCCAATGCTGCTGCTGCTGCTGCAAGCCTTGGGTTTCCCTTGCCAGTTGTGTAGAGGAAGAGCCTAAAAGCCCAGCAGCAGCAGCAGCAGCATCAGCAGCAGCAGCAGCAACAGCAGCAGCAGTCTCGCGTCCGCTGCAGCTGCTGCGGCTGCAGCAACAGCTGATAACGGAGCAGCATCAGCATGTCTGCTGCAGCCTGTGCTGGTGGGCTGCAGCAGCACGCAGAACGTGGCGGGCCAAGAGGGCAGCGCGCGCAGCATTTTGTGCTTTGTTGCTGGCACTGCAGCAGCAGCAGCAGCAGCGGCAGCAGCAGCGGCAGCAGCAGCTGCAGGCGCATGAGTTTCTAGCGGCATTTGACCCCGATGCTGCTGCTTCTGACGCGGCCTCCCCTTTTGCTTCAAAGGCTGCCAGCAGCAGCAGGGGCGTGCAGCAGGCTGCTGCTGACGAGCTGCTGCAGTGGCTAGTGGGGTGCTGCGCTGCAGTGGCAGCAGGAGCAGCAGCAGCGACTGCCGCCGCAGCACCAGCAGCAGCAGCAGCAGCAACTGCAGGGCCTGGCATTTCAAGGGCTGAGTTCCTTTCCAGTCCGCGGACTTTCTGCTGCTACATTGGCGCAGCAGCAGCCCCTGGAGCAGCAGCAACAGCAGCAACGCCACGCTCCGCAGCAGCACCAACAGCGCGGCAAGCAGCAGGCGAAGACTTTGCTTCTCCCTTTGCTGCTACAGCACGCGCAGCAACAGCAGCAGCAGCAGCAGCAGCAGCAGCAGCACCATCGAAAGGCCCTGAAGGGCCTGCGCTTTTTCTGCCTCCTTTAGTTGATTTGCTGCAGTGGGTTTTGCCCGGCTGTACATACACCTTACACTGCACCAGAAAATGCTGTTCCTGCTTCTGCTGCTGCTGCTGCCGGACCGCTGAACTTGCTGCTGTGCACGCGCATACTGTTTGCTGCTGCTGCTGCTGCAGCAGCAGCTGCTGCTGCTGCTGCTGGTTGACTGCACGACTGCGTCTCCTTTCCCTGTACTGGCTGTACAGCCCCAGCTGTTGCTGTTGCTGCTGCTAAAGCTGCGTTGCTTCTGCTGCTGCTGCTGCTGTGCTGCTGCTGCTGTCCAGGCTTGCTGGCGACCTCAGCGCAGCAGCAATAGCTACTGAAGACTACCTGCTGCAGCTGGACGTCTTGTCACTCTCTGCTGCAGCGTTGCTGCCCTTCTGGCAGGCTGCTGCCTTTGGCTGGCAGCAGCAGCTCCCCCGTCCGCTGCTGCCGCAGCAGCAGCAGCAGCAAGACGCCGATAGCCTGATTACGGAATATGAGGAATGCCGCAGCGAAGCAGACAACCAGTTTGCTGCTGCATGCATTCTTCTGGGGCTAAGCCGCGCCATTCGTGCTGCTGCTGCTGCTGCTGACCGAGGTGGCAGCAGCAGCAGCGCCTCCGCTGCAGCAACCCCACCTGCTGCTGCTGCTGCTTCGGGGTGGCTTGAGACTGGAGTGCAGCTGCTGAAAAGCTGGGCAAACCTGCAGGTGAGTCGGCTGCTACCCCTTGCAGCAGCTGTTGACACCGCTATCACTAGCAGCAGCAGCAGCAGCAGCAGCAGCAGCAGCAATAGCACAGTGAGGGACCTCCGCCGGGCTCTGGAAGCAGCAGAAAAGAGGCATCTGAGTCACAAGTGCGGAGACAGCAGCAGCGCGGATGGCGGCAACGCTGGCGATCGAGTTGCTGCTGTTGCTGCTGCTGCCCCCGCTGCTGCAGCTACCAGCAGCAGCTATAAAGGCGGCACTCTGCTGGCTCTTTCTGCTGCCCACTTTATCATGATGCATGCGCATGCAGCAGCAGCAGCAATGGAGGCAGCAGACAGCAACGAAGCCTCGGCCATTTCATTACGTTGTGCTGCCGCGGATGAGTTGCTGCTGCTGCAGTTGTCCGGCCAGCTGCAGCGGAAGGAGCAGCAGCAAAAGGGCGTTGCACCTCAGCAGCAGCCGCAGCAGCGCGTTTTTCTTCTGACGCTGCAGCAAGTCGAATATGTGCTGCTTGCAGCAGCGCCTTTGCAGCAGCAGCAGCAGCAGCAGCAACAAAAGCAATGTGCAGCGGCACAAGAAGCGCTGCCGATCCTGCTGCTGCCGCAGCGGTGGCTGCCTGCAGAAGCCCCTGTGGCGGTGGCTCGCTTCCTGCAGCAGCTGCTGCTCGTGCCGCCGCAGCAACACGAGCAGCAGCTGCAGCAGCAGCCGCAGCAGGAGCAGCAAAAGCAGCAGGATCAGCAGCAGCAACTGCTTTCGGTGCTGCAAAAAGCTCCACAACTGCAGCAGCTTTTACAAGACCCAGGCGACAGAGCCTCAGCAGCAGCAGCAGGAGCGAAGACAGCATCGACAGCAGCAGCAGCAGCACCAACACAAAAAGTGGCTCTGCCTGCATGCAGCAGCAGCCCATTGCGCATTTGGGGGGCATCTGCTGCCCTTGGCGAGGCAGCAGCAGCCGCAGCAGCAGCAGCAACAGCAATGTTGTCTGCAGTTGCTTGCAGCAGCAGAGGGCTTGCCGCTGTTCCACTGTCCCGCAGTCTGCTTCCCCGGCCGCTTATATCCAGAGGCTGCAGCAGAAGCAGCAGAAGCAGCAGCAGCAGCAGCAGCAGCAGCAGCAGCAGCAGCAGCCAGTGGCCAGGGCCCCCAGGGGCCTTCAGACTGCAGAAAGCCCTGGAGGCCCCCAGGGGCCTCAGAGTCCCCTTAAGCCCGGGGCCCTTCGTGGCTGGGCACTGGCCATTTGGGGGCACTTCGTCGTTTGCTGCATCTACTTTGCTGCAGCAGCAGCAGCAGCAGCAGGCAGCTCTGTGGGCCGCAGCAACCCTGGGACAAATGGCAGCAGACAGCAGCACCGCCTGCGACCTGCTGCTGGCCACGCTGCAGCAGTGCTGCTGCTCCTCCCACTCTTTGCTGCCAGCGCTGCGCCTCGCAAACGCCCTTCTCGTGCTGCTGCTGCAGCAGGGATACCCAGCTTTAGATGCTGCTGCAGCGCAACTCGAAATGCAGCAGCAGCAGCAGCAGCACCAACAGCGGCAGCAGCAGCAGCGCCAGCCAGGCTTCTTCAGCTGGGACCAAACGCACTACCTCACAGCCAGGCAGCCCTTGCTCCAGGCAGCAGCAGCAGCACCAGCAGCAGCAGCAGCAGCAGCAGCAGCAGCAGCAGGAACATCAGTAACACAAAATACGTCTGGGCAGCTGCAGCGGCAGTTACAGCTGTGGTCTCCTTCTCACACTCCTCCTCAGTGCCACTTGCAGCTGCAGCAGCAGCAGCAGCAACACGCGCTGCTGGTCTGTTTGCTGAAGTGCTGCCTTGCCGCGCAGGATGCTCTACGGAGCATTTCTGGCCCTCGTGATGGGCTGCAGCAGCAGCAGCAGCAGCAGCAGCAGCAGAAGCAAAGAGAGTCCGAGTCTTCATGGGATAAGTTGATCCCCTTAGCAGACAGAGCCGCATGGCTTTCCTTCCTGGCTGCTGCGACTGCAGCTAGCAGCAACATCTGCAGCAGCAGCTACAGGGAGGCCCAATGGGAGGACAGCAGCAGCAGCACGAGCAGCAGCAACAGCAGCGGCAGCAGCAGCACAAGCTGCCAGATCGCCTCCTTCTCCCCGTTGCTGCAAGCTTCACCGATCTGCAGCAGAGAGCCTTCTGTCGTTTTAGGTAGCGCAGCTGCAGCAGCAGAAGCGGCAGCCAAAGCAGCTTCGCCTGCCACCCCAGCAGCAGAAGCGCATGCAGCAGCAGCAGCAGCAGCAGCAGCAGCAGCAGACTGCGCAGCAGCAGATGCAAAGAGCTCCCTCAGGGCTGCAGGCATTCCAGTGGGGGCGCCCCACTTAGCAGCACTTGCTGACATTTTGCCTCCCCACGCAGCTGTTATGAGGGGTCTTCTGCAGCTGCACGAGCAGCTGAAAAGAGTGCGACAGCGACTGCAGCAGCAGCAGCAGCAGCAGCAACAGCAGCAGCAGCGGCAGCAGCAGCAGCAGCAACAGCAGCAGCAGCGGCAGCAGCAGGAGCCAGGGTGGGAGGCCGTGGCTGCGGCAAGTGAGCAGACCTTCGTCGGCGTTTGGACTCTGTCCGTGCTTCAGTGCTGCAGCAATGAGCAGCAGCAGCAGAAGCAGCAGCAGCAGGTGCAGCAGCAGCATGTGCAGCAGCAGCAGCACACCAAGTGGGTGCGAATGCTCTGCGGCTTCGCCATAGAAAGGCTTTGTGGCCCCCAGCCTGCTGGTGGGCTGTGTAGAGTGCTTTTGGCGCTGTGCGAGCTGCTGCGTCTCCAGCAGCAGCAGCAGCAGCAGCAGCAGCAGGAACAGCAGCAGCTGCTGCACCAAGGCCAGCAGACACAGCAAGATCAGCAGCTGAGACGGACAGCTGTGCAGCAGCAGCAAAATGAGAACGCGCAGCCACAGCCACAGCAGCTTGGCAGCCCGCGCCTTGCTGAGGACTGCAGCAGCAGCAAATTTGTCTCCCCGCACAAACGCAGTTCCAGCAGCAGCAGCAGCAAGCGCTGCTGCTGCAGCTGCTGGCACTGCATGCTTGCTGCCTTGGTGACCTTGCTGCAGTGGGCAGAAGCCGTGACAGACTCATCTGCTGCTTTTGCGGCTGCTGCAGCAGCTGCGCTGACGCACTCGGCTGCTGTGCTGCAGCAGCTGTTTTTGAACGCATGCACTGGGTTTCTCGCGCAGCAGCAGCACGAGCAGCAGCAGCACGAGCAGCAGCAGCAGCAGCACGAGCAGCAGCAGCACGAGCAGCAGCAGCAGCTGCTGCTGCTGCCAAACAACCCCGCTCAAGCTCAGGCTGCGGGGAGCCGTAACGCCGCCAACCTACACAAAGCAGCAGGAATGCAGCAGCTGCTGCTGCGGCTGCTGGCAGCAGCAACAGCAGCAACAGCAGCAGTGACGGCTGGGGATGTGTTGCTGCTCCGCCGAGCAGCAAACTGCTGCATCGACTGCCTTTCTGAGATTGAGTCTGGGCTGCTTGCTCTAGAGGTTGTAGCAGCAGCAGCGGCAAAGCCTGCTGCTGCTGCTGGTACTGCAGCTGCTGCTGCTGCTGCTGCAGCTGCTGCTGCTGCTACTTCACCTCGGCTTGATGTTGCTACCCGGCAGCCTGCTAGTGATGGCGGCTGCGGCTGCGCTGCTGCTGCTCTGTTTAACACAAGTCAACCAAATGAAGTTTTGAGAGTTGTTTGCAGCAAGCTGCTGCTGCTGCTGCTGCCCTTTTGCTGCTGCCCTGCTGCTGCTGTGCGGCAGCAGCAGCGAGCTCTGGAGAGGCAGCTAGGCGCAATCCCTTCTCGCTCCCCCCTGCTGCTGCTGCAGATCTCCTCTCGCCTTTTGCTGCTACTTGGTCAGCGTCAGCAGCAGCTGGAGGCGATGCCGCGAGAGCCAGTAGAGGCGCAGCAGCAGCAGCAGCAGCAGCAGCAGCAGCAAGAAGAACAGTGGCCATGCCTGGGGCAAGGCGGCCTTTGCCTTACGGCCTGGCAGCAGCAGCAGCAAGCTGCTGCTGGCAGCAGCAGCTGCTTTCTTTTAGCATCCGCTGACCTGGAGTGTCTCTCCACCTGCCGGACGTTCCCCAAGCCCCTTGTCAGAGCCCTAGCAGCAGCAGCAGCAGCAGCAACAGCAGCAACAGCAGCAAAAGGGACAAAGCTTCCCTGTGCATCTGCAGCAGCTGCTTCTGAAGAGCAGCTCAACTGCAAAGATGCTGCACATGTCTTTCTTTGGGACTGCAGCTCAAACAACGCAGCGTTACGTTCGCTGCTTCGTCCACAGCAGCAGCAGCAGCAGCAGCAGCAGCAGCAGCAGCGTGCATCCCCTTTCACCTCTTCTGCTGCAAATGCACCTGCCTCCGCGCTTTTGCGCAGCAGCAGCTGCAGCACGCCTTCCCTGCTGCAGCTGCTGCGGCAGCAGCAGTGGCTGCAGTGGTGCATAGCTGTGGCCTCAGGGAGGGCAGCACAGCTCTCCAGCAGCTGCTGCTCGCCGCCGCCGCAGCAGCAGCAGCAGCAGCAGCAGCAGCCGCATCAGCAGCAGCCGCATCAGCAGCAGCGGCGGCAAACTCACCAGCAGCAGAAGCAACAGCCACAGCAAGAAGAGCTGCAGCAGGAGCAGCAAAAAACAGCAATGGTTAATGCCGCAGCTGCTGGCGTAGTTGCTGCTGCTGACTGCGCTGATAACGGAAGAGCAGCACGAGAGACAGCAGCAGCAGCAGCAGCAGCAGCAGCAGCAGCGCCGTCTCAGCAGCAGCAGCAAGATCGACTTGCTTTCTTACAGAATTGGTGGGGAGAACGGTGGCTACTAGAGAAACGCAGCGAGGAGTGGCAGCAGCAGCTGCTGCTGCTGCTGGGGCCCTCTGTTCTGCTGCTGCAGGGCTGGCCCGTGCTGCCGCTGCGGGAAGTCCGCCCTCTACCAAACAGCCTTGCTGCAGCAGCAGCAGAGGAGCAGCGGATGCCGGCAGCAGCAGCAGCAGCAGCAGCAGCGGCAGCGACTGCTGCTGCTGCTGCCAATGTGGAACTAAAGCATCGAGCCGCAGCAGCAGCAACAGTTCAAGATGCTGCGCTGCTGCAGAGGCTGGAAGCTCCTGTTTCCCTCATTCTTCGCTGGCTAGAAGGGTGGTCCGGCGAAGCCTCCACGAGGCAGCAGCAGCAGCAGCAGCAGCAGCAGCAGCACGAGCAAATCCCTGACTGGTTAGTGTGCACATGCGGCGACTTGAACGGAGGAGCAGCAGCAAGCAGCAGCCCGCCGTGCCCAGCAGCCAAGCGGCAGCAGCAGCAGCAGAAACCCCTTCTGCGGCCCCTAAGGGAGTGGGCTGCCCACGCTGCTGCTGCTGCTGCTGCTGCTGCTGTGCTGCCAGCCCTGGCTGCAGCTTGCTGCAGCTTGTGCTGCACAGCAACACTCTCCATACAAGCACACGAAGATGAACGTTTGTGGGCCTTCGCCATTCTGCAGCACCACAGGGCGGTATCTAGAGACCTCCATTCACACCTGCAGCAGCAGCAGCAGCAGCAGCAACAGCAGCAGCAGCAGCAGCAACAGCTTGCCTTTGAGGTATACGGGGAGGAAGACATCGAGCAAGCGCTGCAGCGCAAACTGCCGCCTCATCCGCATGCCCAGCCTGGTAGGGAGAGTGAAGCAGCGGCAGCAGCAACACCAGCAGCAGCAGCAGCAGCAGCAGGAGTTACTGCTGCTGCTGCTGCTTCTGCAGGTGCACAGACGGCTCACACTCCTTCAAAGTCATTGAGAAGAGCAGCAGCAGCAGCAGCAGCAGCAGCGCGACTCGGCACACCAAGTCGACAAAGATCCGCCAACACGGCAGCATTAACGGCAGCAGCAGCAGCAGCAGCAAGAGCAGCAACTGCTGCTGCCTTCACGCCGAAAAGCAGCAAATCACAAAGCACTATTTGTGCTGCTGCTGCAGTGGCAGCTGGTTGCCTCATGGGCAGCAGTCCGTTCTCTGCCGCCGCCGCCGCAGCAGCAGCAGCAGCAAGATCAGGGCAAAGGCGCCCCCGTGCACAGCAGCAGCAGCAACAGCAACAGCAGCAGCAGCAGCAAGAGCAGCAGCAGCAGCAGCAGCAGCAGCGTGGACCCACGGCTGATGAGCATGAATTGACAATGAGGTTCAGAGAAGAGATGCTGCAAATAGAAGGCGGCTGCCTGTGTCTTTCTCTGGAGGCTTTGGGGCTGTTGCTGCTGCGCATCCTTTCCCCCGTGCTGCAGCCAGCAGCAGCAGCAGCTGCTGCTGCTGCACTGTTGCAGCCATCGTACCTCTGTATGCCACTGCAGCAGCAGCAGAATGCGATAGCCTTGCTGCGGCAGCTGGCTGCCAGCTTCCTCTGCTGCGTTGTCTTGAGGCTGCAGGCTGTGGGGTCTGCTGCTTGCTGCAGGAGGCAGCAGCAGCAGCAGCAGCAGTCTCAGCAGCAGCTGCAGCAGCCGCAAAGTGAAAGAGGCCCAGCTGCTGACGACGGCGCGGCTGAGGCAGCATCTTGTAGGGGCAGCGTCAGTCGCTGCTGCGAGAGCCTTTGCTGCTGCTGCAGCAGCGGCCCTGCCACAGTTAGACAGCGAGCTGGCAGCAGCAGCAGCAGCAGCAGCAGCAGCAGCAAGGGCGTTGTGGATATTGAGCGCCCCTTGTGGGCCACGGGCTGCGAGCCTGTCTCCTTATACCTTCACTCTGCGCTGCTGCAGCTGCCCGTAGAAGGCCTCGGCTTGCTGCAGCAGCAGCCCTTATGCCGGGGCGTGCACCCAGGAGTTGCTGCTGCGCTGCTGCAGCTGCGTGCAGAACGCGTACAGCAGCAGCAGCAGCAGCAGCAGCAGCAGCAGGGCACTCCAGCAGCAGCAGATGCAGCTTCAAGAGATGGGATACAAAGAGTTGAGTCAGCTCAAGACAGGCAGCAGGCAACGCCGCGACGCCACTTACCTGCTGCTGCTGCTGGCTGCACCACAGTGGCAGCAGCAGGAGCAGCAGCAGGAGCAGCAGCAGGAGCAGCAGCAGGAGCAGCAGCAGGAGCAGCAGCAGGAGCAGCAGCAGCTGTGACCCCCGGTGTACGGACACCCAGAAGCTGTTGCCGCCTGGAGAGGCTTGGCTGCTCTTCTTGCCCAACACCGGCTTTGCTGCAGAGCAGCGCGCGAGCAGCAGCAGCAGCAGCAGCAGCAGCAACAGGTGTTCCGCATCGCCGCGCTGCCGCAGCTGCCGCGACTGCAGGACTTGCAGCTTACTGCCACACGCAGCAGCAGCAGCAGCAGCAGCGGCAAAAAGTGTCGCTCATGGATTTTAATCTCCAGCTGCAAGACCCGCCCGCTGGAGACAGCAGCAGCAGCAGCAGCAGCAGCAGCAGCAGTGATGTGTCAGTGCTCTGTCCGCTGCTGTACGGCGACGTGCTGCAACGGTGGAACCGCCGTCTCAGCAGCAGCAGCAGCAGCAGTAGCAGCAGCAGCAGCGCCAGCAGCAAGGACATTACTGGCTTGCATACTGACAGCAGCAGCAGCAGCAGCAGCGCAAGCAGCAGCAGCAGCAGCGCGCCTTGTGGCGCAGACAGCTGCAGCAGCAGCAGCAGGACCCCGCGCGGCCCAGGCAACTACGACACCAGCAGCAGCAGCAGCAGCAGCAGCAGCAGCAGCAGCAGCAGCAGCAGCAGCAAATGCGGAAATGTCTTGTTGGGCGGCGTGGGAGTCTGCATAAATCCCTCAGGAGAGCTGCTGCGGACTTTCCGCTGCTGCTTCCCTTTCCTGCAGTGGGGGTTCAGCTGCTGGCGGGGAGCTGTCAACAGGCCTCCCCGAGGTGGCGCTGCGCTGCTGCTGCTGCTGCTGCTGCTGCTGCTGCTGCTGCTGCTGCTGCTGCTGCTGCTTCAGAGGCTGTTTCGTTTGCTAGGCACGGAGCTGCTGCAGCTCCCACTGGCCGTGCAGCTCCCGTTGGAAGTGCCGCTGCTAGTCTGCTGCTGCTGCTGCGCGAGTTGCTGCACTGAGAGGCGCATGGCCTGTTGGTCTGTTGCTGCTGCTGCTGCTGCTGCTGCTGCAGAGAACGAGTGGCTGTCGCTGCTGCTTAGCGCCGAAGTCTTCCTCTACTGCGGGCACCAGGGAGGCGAGCAGTTCGTGGATATGTCTCTGCTGCAGCGTTGTTTGTTGCTTCCGGAGGAGCCGTCAGCAGCAGCAGCAGCAGCAGCAGCAACTGCTGCTGCTGCTGCTGCGCAGGCGCCGCAGCCAAGACCTGCAGCACAGGCGGCTGTGCTGCTCTGCGGCTGCAGCAGCGCCCAACTCCGCAGCAGCAGCGACGGCGGAGAGCCAACAGGGACAGTCGTCGACTATCTTTGTGCAGGATGGTGAGGGGCCTTGCTGCTGTTGCTGCTGTTGCTGCTGTTGCTGCTGCTGCTGCTGCTGCTGCTGTTGTTCCCACGGTTTCTGTGCTGCTGGTGGACTGCGGCAGCAGCTGCAGCAGCACTTGCAACAGCAACTCGCGCATTTTCGCATGCAGTCGCGTGCATGCAAAGAGTTGCTGCCTCTTCTGTCCTGTTGTTGTTGCTATTGCTGCTGCTGCTGCTGCTGCTGCTGCTGCTGCTGCTGCTGCTGCAGCCCTATGGTTGCAGGCAATTTGTGGGCGGTGACGGACGGCGAACAAGACGCGCTAATCCGCGCACTTCTTTTCAAATGGACGCAGCAGCAAACTTCGCCTTTTGCTGCACCTCCGAGCTGCTGCTGCGGCTCCTTGCAGGCCCCCTGCCGCAGCAGCAGCAGCAGCAGCAGCAGCAGCAGCAGCAGCAGCAAGGGGCTGTCACTCCTCAGAGCCCTCACTGAAGCCAGAGGGGCCTCGCGCCTTCGGCGCTGCACTGGAGACGCTTTGGTGGCCTACGGGCTGCCCCTCTAGGCGCAGCTGTACGTACACCCGAAGCTGCAGATACACCTGAAGTTGTGCATACACCTCAAGCTGCAGATACACCCGAAGTTGTGCATACACCTGAAGCTGCAGATACACCTCAAGCTGTACATACACCTGAAGCTGTAGATACACCTGAAGCTGCAGATACACCTGAAGTTGTGCATACACCTGAAGTTGTAGAAGATATACCTGAAGCTGCAGATACACCTGAAGCTGTACATACACCCGAAGCTGTAGATACACCTGAAGCTGTACATACACCTGAAGGTGTACATACACCTAAAGTTGCGGATACACCTGGAGCTGCAGATACACCTGAACTGCAAGAAGGTGTCAAATAAGTTTTTTTTTGTTTTAAAAGACCCATCTCTGACGCCTTGAGGTGTACATACACCCTGGCTGCTGCTTGCATGCGCATATAAGGGAGTTTTTAGACTATTTTGCTGCTGTCTGTACACCTGAAGAGCTGCCTGTACACCTGAATAAGTGCCTGTACACCTCAGGCGCTGCTGCTGCTGCCGACTCGGTGAGTTTCCGTTTAGTTGATTTAAATTGAAGGAAACTGCAAAGTGCAGCTGCCACTGCAGCAGGCAGCAGATCCTGTAGCAGCAGCAGCAGCAGCAGCAGCAGCAGCTACCTGCGCCTAGTTGCAGCTAGCTGCAGTGCGTTGCGGCTGCGGCTGCAGCTAGCTGCTACTAGCTGCGGCTAGTCGCAGCTACTTCGGACCGTGGCGGCAGCTAGCTGCAGCTTGCTTCAACTAGCTGCAGCTAGCTGCAGCTTGCTGCCATCAGCCGTAGCTTGCTGCGGCTAGTTCAGGTGAGCCGCAGCTAGCTGCTGCAGCTAGCTGCTGCAGCTAGCAGCTAGCTGATTGGCTCAGCAGCCTGCTGCAGCAAGCTGCCGTTTGTTGTCGCTAGCTGCAACTAGCTGCAGCTGGCCGCAGCTAGCTGCTCCGAACTGCAGCAAGCAGTCGCTAGCTAGTGGCATGTTTGCTGCTGCAGCAGCAGTTTCCATGAGTGTCTGCTGCTTCTCTATTTGCTGCAGCGGCGCGGCCCCTTTGCTGCAGCAGCTGCAGCCCCAAACTGGCCCGGAATTGAATTTGTAGGGCCCAACAGCCCTTCTTGGTTTCGTGGCTCAGCAGCAGCAGCAGCAGCAGCAGCAGCAGCAGCAGCAGCAGCAGCAGCAGCAGCAGCAGCAGCAGCTGTTGAGGCTCAATGCGCAATGCGCAGGCAACTACGGCATTAAGGGGCTCTTAATGAATAAAAATTAATTATTTATTTAAAAATAAATTATTTAATTTGCTCAGAGAGATGGCTGGGGGCTCCCGCCACGCAGACACAGACAAACACCAACCCCCCTGCTGCTGCTGCTGCAGCAGGGCGCTGCAGCAAAGCTACACTTTGCAGTTAAGGCAAATTTAATATTTTATTTTAGTTTAATATATTTCAAGTTCAGCTGCAGCATTTGGTGCCTCTTTCGACCCAACGGCTGCTGTTGCTGCTGCTGCTGCTGCTGTTGCAGCCAAAGACACACCAGCCGCATCGGCAGCAGCAAAAGTACCTGCAGCAGCAGCAGCAGCAGCAGCAGTAGC